CCACCATGGGCTTCTCCTGAAAGTGGTTAATGCATCTGTGAAATTGTTGGGCCACACAATTTTTTTAATAAATAATAAATTATGATTTTTGAAAAAAGTAATAATTTATTTATTATATATAAATTTTATATATTATATTTTAAATGAATAAGATAATTTTATTTTCAATGAATACAATAAAAGGTAAATAAATTTTAATTATTAAAAATAAAAAAATAAATAATCAAAATTTTATATAAATATAAAATATAATATCTGTGTATATGTAAATCTTAACGTATTTGAAAAAATCAATATATAAATTAATTTTAATATATTTTAATTAATTTGTAGAGTAATTTTAATATGTTAAATAACAAATATTAATTATTTTATTATTTATCAACCAACAAAGACAACTATATATTAAGTGTTTTCAATAATCAAATTAAATATATAACTAGTATTTTAAAGGACCTAATAAAAAAATTATGTAGTCCTAATAATTTATTAGGTGGGAGTAACCGTTCTCCTTTTTACTAGCGTCTTTTTTCATTTTTCACCATACACAACCATTATTTGGCAAGCCTCTCCCTTCTTATTTTTCCTCCCTTACCTAATATGATATAATAATTTGAACCTATAATCTTTTTTTCAACCGAAAGGATGTTACGTGATGCGAATAATCAACCTAAGTTATTTGATTAATAGCCACTTATAAGTTATAACATTAAATTAATATTTTGTTTCACTATATTACAGAGATCTCCTACATAAAAAAACACCCTCTTAAAGCTTTTTAATTAAAAATATGATATTTTTTTATTAATTAAGGTTATCAACTTATCAAAAAATTTTAATTAAAAATATTACTTTTGTCAATTTATCAAGAAAAGACTAGGTAGATATCACGCTAATGTGTCTTACAAATTACATTTGCTAGCCCTAATTTTCTTGTTGACTATGTTTAAAAATTGACAAGTAGTATAATGAATTGGACAAAAAATAGAGACAAAATGAAAGAAGAGCACGTAGATGGGTGGAACCCATTCCATCTAAAAAATCAAACTTAAACAACCGCTACGCAATCATCTATGTTGTTTATTTTTGTACATATTAGCAAGAAAAGTGGACCCGCAATAGGATGCATTGGGCATGTCGACATACAAATTCACTTAATTTTTTGGTTAAATTTTTAATTTGGTCCCTAAATTATTGTATGGACTTTCGATTTGGTCTCTAAACTAAAAAAATCCCTACTTTGGTCCCTAAACTATTATTCAGATCGCCGATTTGGTCCCTATTGTTTACCAATTTGCCCCAAATTGGTCCTTCTATACAAAAACAATTGACGTGTTTCGTTATTAACTTGACATGTGATCGTTAAGTTATTGTTTTTTATCGTTACGTTACCATTTTTTACCGTTAAATACTAGACATGTCAACTTTTTTTGTTACAGAAGGACTAATTTGGGGCAAATTGGTAAACAGTAAGTACCAAATTGAGGGTTCGTACAATAGTTTAGGGTCCAAATTAGTGATTTTTTTAGTTTAAGGACCAAATCAGGAGTCCGTATAATAATTTAGGGATCAAATTAAAAATTTAACCTAATTTTTTTTAGTAAAATTGCAATAATCATATCATTTATAAAAAATTATTAAAAGATAACAATCTTAATTAATAAGAAAAAAATTCATATTCTTAATTTATAAAGTTTGAAAAAATTATATCCTTATTTTATATAAAAGCTCCTACACATATATTAAAAGAGTAATGATACGTGAGACGATTTAGAAAGATGAAATCACAAGACGACAAGTAAAACAGGGTTAAATTGATAATTACTATTAAGACTGCTTTACTTGTCGTCCCGTGATTTCATCCTAAAATCATTCCGCGTATTATTACTCATATTAAAAGCCTACTAAAAAACAAGAAACAAAAGTTTGATTGCAAACGAGCATGGGTGTATGTAGGCTCTCGCGAGCCACTTTTTAACTTTTATTGCACTTGGGGAATTAATTGCACTGATTAGAGTGCACTGACGCTAACAAATGTCAGCGTTCAATCCGTTCCAAACTTCCAAATTCAGCCAAGTTATAATTATTTCCCGTCTCCCAAAAACCTCCCCCATCAAATTAAAAGACCCCCCAAAAAAAAAAAAAAAAAAAAAAGCTCCATTTGGTCCTAAACTTTCGTATGGAGACGTTTCTGGTCTTTCAACTGAAAATATTCCCTTTGTAATCACTAAAATTTATTTTTCTATCCTTTTAGTCCCTCCATTAAGTTTTCTCACAGTAGCTGCGCGTACTTGCAGAACGTTCTTGTTTTCCATTCAAATTGGTGATTTGGATAATCCAACATGTAAAAAGTGTTGAGGTAGACAAGTAATGGAATGCACATTAATGCCCTCATCATCATCTTCATCCTACCTCCATATTATTCATCCATCAAAACCACTATAATTTGATTCAAACTTTAGAACACAAATGGATCATCTTAAACCTATTCATGGCATTATAGACAATGAAACTAAGATTGAAATCCAAATCAAATTCAAATTAATTCATGAACTTTATATCAAAATCAAATTTTTATAAACAATTTTAAATTCATCTCTTTAAATTAAAATTCAAAAAATTTAGATTCAATATAAGCCAAAGATTTAATTTCTATGCACATTAATGCCCTCATCATCATTGTCATCCTACCTCCATGTTTTTCATCGATCAAAACCCTTGCAATTTGGATTCAAACTCGAGAACACATATGGATCGATCCTCTTAAACCCATTCATGGCATCATAAACAAAGAAATTGAGATTGAAATTCAAAATCAAATTCAAATTAATACATGGACTTCATATTAAAATCAAATTTTTATAGACAATTTTAAACTCATTTCTTTAAATTAAATTAAAAAAACCTAGATTAAATATATTCCAAAGATTTAATTTCTATACACATTTGTGCTAGTCATTCCTTTGCAAATTTCAATTCCACCACAAATTTGTTTTATCATCATCTTGACAATGCAAGACGCAACCCCATTCCTTTTACCAACACCGACAGTGGCTAAATGTTGAAATCCAAGACCAATGGTAGCCACTCAAAACCCTAGAAAGGCAAAGCCTAAATAGCCAGACTCGACGGTAGCTAAAGAAGAAACATGAAAGGAAAAAAAATAAAAAAATAAAAAGAAGAAGAAGAAGGAAGAAAATGAGAAGGAAAAAAATGAGAGAAAAAAGAAGAGAAAGGAATGAAGAGAAACCTCAATCTGGGTTCCTAAATTTGCCTTTTTCTAAGCTCTTGGCCATACAATTAATCATCCCCATTGTGCAAATTTGTTTTTTGCTGGAGGGCAACACAACACAAGATGGAGAATACCTACAGATTTGTGTTTCTCGCTCAACCATCCTGATATTGTAGTCAGATATGGTCCAAGCACAGAAGGAGAGAAGAGAGAAAGTTCAATTTAGGTAGGGAAGGCGAGAGAAGTTCTAGTTTAAGCACAGAAGGAAAGGAGAGGAGAAAAGGAGATGCCAAGAAGGGTGATTTTGATAAAGGAAGAGAGAAACCATGATTGAGAGGTAGAAGATGAATTTACGTGTTCATGTAATTTTGTTATATTATAATTGTTTTTTTTTTCGCCTTTAATTTAATATAATGACATGGAGGCTAAATTATTTACACTTCAGCACTTTTATATGTGATATATATAGGTTGAATTTTAGAGGTATTAGTGTTAATGTTTGCCTTGATATTATTAATATTTAGATAAGTTTCATGAGATTTTACTTAAATTTACATAATTTTCATTTTTTTTTGAAAAAAATTACTTAATTGAAATAAATCTCAACTTTAAGTAGAACCTTAATTGACTTAATTTACAAAGCTTATCAATTTATCAACTAACCACATTTTAAGTAAAACCTCTCCTAATAAAGTTGATCCTTTAGCCAAGTAAAAGTGTGGGTCTCACTTCTTTTGTTATTAGGTTTTCTAAATCCGATGAATATTCATTTAAGATTAGAATGGGAGGCTTTTAGAGGAGTTCTTTTGGGAGCTTTTTTGAGAGTTCTTTTGGACCATTTTCAGAGCACTCTTATAGACGAACTTAGATTTGGCAAGAATTTATTAATAATAGAAAATTAAGGAAATTGATATCCTCAAATTAAGTTCTACTTTTCTTGAGTTTTATTTTTTATTTTAGCTTGGGTTTTTTTGTTCATAAACAAGTATGACTTCAAATTCCATTGTTTTTATTATGAACTAATGTTGTCAATTAAAGCTAGTAATCTTATCAATTTGATGTAGATTTTTATGATTTTTATACTTTTGATATTGTTATTTTATGATGAGTATGTATAATTATTCTTAATGCTTTTTAATACACAATCACCATTTAAATTGACATAGATAGCATAATTAAGATCGAGAAAAGATTTAATGCAATAACTTCTAATAATATATACTATGAATTGAACAAAAACCAAAAATTGACTAACATGATTTCTGTAGTATTTGTGATAAGTGAACTCATAAATTTTTACCTAAATTAGAAAATTTTACAAAATATAATATATTTTTATCTATTTAAATTTACATAAAAATATAGTAAGTTAATAGGTAAAGATATATTTTGGCATAACTTGTGAAAATATATTGAATAAAATAAGAAATTTTGTTCTTACATGAGTGGTAAACATATTGAAAGCATAATAATCTAAAATCTATATTGATTGATTATGATAAAATTGGATGCCTTAATATCTTATATCTTGGTGAATTTTATTTTAAATTGTTGTTTTCTTTTAATTAATCTTAATTAGAAATTCTTCTTTTTTATTTTTTCAAAAAATTTTAAAATTAGTTAATTTTAATACTTAACTAGTCATAATCTCTATGGGAACAATACTGTATTCATCACTTTAATACTTAAATGACTAGTACATTTACTAGTGAATTTAGCGTATCAACATGCTGGAATATCTGTATCATCAATTTAGATAGAAAATAAGAAAGTTTCAGTAAGCAAACACGCCACATGTGAAAAAACTTAATAGAAGGACGAAGGAAGGCTGATAAATAAACTTTAGAGATTAATAAAGAGATTTTTTTAGTTAAAGGACCAAAAAAGGCTTTTTAAAAAAGTTCAAGGATGGGATTTGAAAAAAATAAAGAGGGATGTGAACTGACATTAATAATGAATACAATACAAGGATACAATTGTAAACCTAATGAGCTTAAGGACTAAATGGAACATTTATAAAGAGTGTAGGGATCTCTGTTGACATTTCTATCGTTTCATGGATTCGCCGGCCTGCTTGATTACCTTGACCAAGAACCCGATTTCGGCCTGGTTTGGGGTTCACAACAGTAGCAATAAAACTGATTCCCTTATAAAGGAATAGCTTTCGATTTGGGATTTCATACCGTGATGAAGCTTGGAGTTGTTTTCATGGTTTTCTTCTGATAAATTCGATCTTCTTCTGCTCCAAGTTTTCAATCTTTTGTTTCTCTGAATCCGGTTTCATTCAAAAGTCACTTTGACCTGTGTTTAAATGGTGGGATTGAATTGATATTAGGGGGTTTTGGGCGAAACAGGGATTTGGGTCTGCGTTGAAATCGCATACTTCCATTACCCAGAACCTGGACTTATCTAGGGACTTAGGTAGAAATGGCTTCTTTGTCAAGTTTATCGTGGTTGTCTTCATCTGCACCCTTTGTTAGCTCTTCTCGGTCTGATGGGTACGGCGTTTTGGGTATAAAGAGGAACGATTGTTGTGTATATAAGCAGAGGCAGGATAAGAGAAATGTTATTTGTGCGTGTATGGCCCCTTCTCGGAGCTTGGAGAGCGATGAAGTCTCTGGGGCCAAATTCAATGTAAGATTTCTTCTTCACTTTCTGCATTTCTGCTGGTCAATCCTGTATCTTAAGTATGGATGTTGTGGTTTGTTGAACTTTAACTTTGGAGGCTTGGCTGCTTCTTTAGATTGGCTGGAATATTTCTGCAAATTCAATTAATTTGATTGTTTTTCATTCACATTGGCTATTGCTGTACCTTTCTTTTCTTTTCAATATATAGTAGTTTGGTCTATTAATTTTGTAGCTTATTATGCATTCAAGTCTCTAAATTTCCCATTTTTCGTTGTCTGGTTGTTTCGGTTAAGGGGTTTAGTGCTTTTATATTACTCAATTGACCCTTATTTTTTCTGCCTCGTGTTTAGGGCGAATCATTCACTTAACTTCCTACCCGTGTTAATAATTAGATGTTTCCTTATCTGTTTGGCATTCTGCTTGACTTATCTATAATTAAGTTTCAGGCATCTAGGTTATTAAATGACTTGGCTTTTTGTCTGAGATTTGTGTTTTCATTGGTTTTAGTTGCCTTGTTTTTATTTTCTTGACATGCAATGTGATCAGTCATGAAGGGTTTATGCGTGCAGCAATCATCCAAATCTGAGAGTTTGAGCAAGTCATTTCAGCATGAGAGTGATTCAGATGTTCTCATTGAATGTCAAGATGTCTACAAATCATTTGGTGAAAAGCATATCTTGCGAGGTGTCAGCTTCAAGGTGATGTGGTTTACTTGAGATGTGTTTTTCCTTTTTCTCTGACTAATTACACAAGGCTTCATATTTAATGATTGCACACAGCTGATGATGACCTCTAGCAACTAAAACTTAAAAGATTTTACTGGACTCCAAAGTCAAGCCTTTTCTGTAATAAAGAACCTCTTTGCAAGTGCACTACTTTCTTTAGGAGAATCCTTCTGGTGGGAAATGTCTCTTTGTTTGGAGTGCATTCACAAGTGGCAAATTGATTGATCTTATTGTGTTCATTCATTTTAATGCCATTCTTAGAATTGGCAGATCTAGGATGGATTAGAACATTGGCCAATAAAGGATGGATTAGATGGATTAAAACGTTGACATAATCTTTAAGACATTTGTCAAAATAATGCCTAGATGATGTTTTTGCTCAATTTACGTCTTCATATTTTTCTTGATTCATGTTTTTCTTTAGCATTTATCTCATATTCCTTTTTCCAGTTTCACTCTTCTCCTAAGTTTTTTTGCTTCATCTGTAGATTAGACATGGTGAAGCTGTTGGGATTATTGGCCCTTCTGGAACTGGGAAGTCAACCATTCTCAAGATTATAGCTGGACTTCTTGCTCCAGACAAGGTTAGAAATTGAATCTTGGATCGATTCAATCTTGTAATTTTCTCCTCCCCCCTTTTTTTAAAAAGAACTTTTTTAACATTTTTATATGGCGCATGTGTTATTTCCTTGTTGCTAGTGTAACTAGATAATAATTTTCATGGGCAGGGAGCGGTTTATATTCGAGGAAGAAGGAGAGCTGGTTTGATCAGCGATGATGAAATTTCTGGTCTTCGAATTGGACTGGTTGAATTTGCCTTTTGAGTTATCAATATTGTAGTGGAAGTTCTCATGAATAATTTATGGGAGATGTAATTATGTTTTTATTGACTTCTAATTGCAGGTGTTTCAAAGTGCAGCACTTTTTGATTCTCTGACAGTTCGTGAAAATGTTGGTTTCCTTTTGTAAGAGGCAGTCTATTATTTCTATCTGATACTTTATTGCTATTATCCTTGCCAGGAATATAGTGACCTTTATCTTTTTCCCGAACTAAGAAATTAACTTAGTGGTTTATGGTTGATAATTGCTCAGATATGAGAATTCAAGAATGCCAGAGGATCAAATCTCACAGCTTGTGACAGAGACATTGGCTGCTGTTGGTTTGAAGGTGTGAATGAATTGTCATTTTCAGATATCTGTATAATCAAATGGTTGTAAACATTTTTAATATTAAATGCTTGGCTTGATTGAGGAGTGTCTACATACTAAATTAGGTGCCCCAAATGAGATGCTGGTTGTGGTAGATAACAAATATAACATGATAAAAAGTCCATTGAAATTTTTTCTTTTCCCATTGTTGAGTCTGTCATCTAGCTGAAGCTGAAGGGCTGTCTTTACTCATTAATGTTAAGTCAGCACTGCTTATTGATACTTCATGCCTTAACCTCAATCTCTCCTTTTAAGATTTTGATTTAACCATCTTATTGTTGTAGATTGATGTTGAATCTATCTTAATGATTATCCTAAAATAAAATTTTCTCCATAGGGAGTTGAGGACCGGTTGCCATCTGAGTTGTCTGGTGGTATGAAGAAAAGAGTCGCTCTAGCTCGTTCTATAATTTTTGATACCACAAAGGAATCAATAGAGCCAGAGGTATGTTGTATCTGTATGTAGTATTTGTCATTTGGGCATTGGTACACTTCTAAAATGGATGCTGAGATTGTCTTTGGCTGTGTATACCTATAATATATATATATATATTTTTTTTGCATGATTAGAACCTCTTATTATGGTAAAGCTATCTCTTAAATATCTGTTAATGTATTGCTTTTGGTGGTTTTTCAGACTCAGGGTAGTACCATCATATGAAAGAGGACTGTAATTAGCATCTCATCTATTTGGTGCATTTATTTTCAAAACTTAGTCCTGAACCAACCTTAAGACCCAAAATTTTTTTTAAAACCTCTGTATACAATTTTTTTGCCACCCCCCCCCCCCCCCTGGGGAGTCTCACTCAAGTTCTATCCCTGTTTGTCCATAAATTCTGCTTTGTAATATCACTTGGCTTTACTTACCTCCTCTTGGTCTGGTATTGATGGCTGATTTTAGGAATTTATGTTGGGAAGCGAAATTAATGAAGGGGAAGCTTTTATGTTCAGATTTTATGTGAAAAAGTATTAGGGCGTTTGTAGATAATTTATTCTCAAAATCAATGATAAGAAAAATCTAGGTCTGTAGCTTGAAGACCTTGTCAAGTTTTCTTGATGTTGTCTAGATTAGTTGTGATTTTTTGCGTGGACAGAAAGCCATTTTTTTGATTTTGTGATTATTTTGCCTTACAATAAGAAGGAGAAATGCTAGCGTCATGGCTTAGAGTAAATTTCCTAGGTGAGTAGTCTTTTTTTTTTTTTTAAATTTTTTCCACTGTCTCTCACACTCTTGTTTTCTCCTTAATAACGAGGGAAACTAGAGTTTGGTTTGGTGCACATCAGGTTAAGGCTGCCTTTTATTTGGGCAATTTCAGTGCCTTAACCCCCCCACTCTCCCCCAACCAAATTTTCATAGAATAGTGATAATGTATTGAAATCACTCCAGAATCCCCCTGATCAGTACAAATTTGAAAAATGTAAATGTATAATTTAAACGCTCACAAAATAATGCATGGAGGAGGAAGTGTTACTTTGTCTCAAATATGCTGTTGGTCATGCTAGTGAAGCATATTGTAGTAAATCTCAGTCAATCTGACAGTGGTGTTTATATTTGTCTATTGTCTAAGCCCAAGCTACTGGAAAGCTTAGCCTAGTGCAGTAAGAGTTTTTGGTTAAGAATGAGCAAAACATGAGGTTATATTTTGTGCACTGCTATTTGGTAAGATTACCATAAAATTACCATAAAATCATAATCATTTTCTGTTTTTCATACCAAATTGTTTTTGTTGATCTGGAATCTTATTCTAAGCATCCTTGGCATTTCTGGATAGGTGCTTTTGTATGATGAACCCACAGCAGGACTTGATCCAATTGCATCTACTGTAGTGGAAGATCTCATCCGTTCAGTACATGTGACAGGTGAGGATGCTGTAGGGAAACCTGGAAAGATTGCATCTTATGTGGTTGTTACTCATCAACATAGTACCATTAGAAGAGCTGTTGACAGGTTCTGCTTCTTTTGAAATCATTTTGTTCTTGTAACAATGTTGCTATAATGTAGGATGCCTAGTAAAGTGAGTCAGTCTTTTTGTTTAGGTTGTTGTTTCTATATGAGGGAAAGATCGTTTGGCAAGGAATGACTGAAGAATTTACAACATCAACCAATCCAATTGTTCGACAGGTAATTTACAAGCTGGTTTCTGAATTCAAATTATTCCTTACTTTAAAATTTATTATTTTGCTTCAAACCATCAATTGTCAAGGTATTTAACTAGGAACTAGACAGGATGGGGCTAGACGTAGCATCTGTCTGCATTCTGTCCCATTTACAGCACAGCAGTATCTTAGTAGAAATTAAGATTGCAGTCACTCCAGTTAGTGATGGCATGGAAGGAAGACCTGCTTGGATGATATGAACATTATTCAAAATTGCAGAACTTCCTTGACCTTGACATAGGATCATGGGGAGGCTTCATAAAAACATCATTCAAAGAAGTCATGCACTCAACATATGCATAACGTTTACTTAGGCCTTTACATTTACATAGAAGGAGTAAAAGATAATCTTGGTGCTGCCTTCTATTTTCAGTTTGCATCTGGGAGCCTGGATGGTCCTATCAGATATTAGTGCAAGTACCGAGGTTCCTAGAGTTGATTCATCACTATCACAATCGCAATTAATTTGGCATCTACTGGGGTTGCTGTGATAATATTTTTGGCTTCACTTGGTAATCTGGAGCTGATCTACGAATCTCAGGAAGGGTTTTTTCACCAGTGTCTTTGCCGGATGATGCATGATGTGACTAGGTCTATTTTTCATTTTTCCATTTACGTTTCTTGCTCTATTTGTTATGGCTACCCACAAAGGGGAGCATATTGAATTTATGTAACATTCTAAATGCTCTTAGCAATCATTGACAAACTCAAACATAAATCACAACATAAATAAAAGGAATTGAAGTGTGGAACTACAAAAGAGGAGGGAAGGGAAAAATCAAATGCCCAAGACATATTCTTGGCGCCTACGTCCTCTCTACAAGCCTCCTTTGTATCTAGTAACTTCAAACTCCCTGTGATTTCTGGGACTCGTAGAAATTGTTACAAGTAACTCGAGCTGTGAACCCCATCGAGGACTATACCCCACGTCCAGAAGTATTCTAAGGATTAAACCTCAATTCCTAGAACCCCCCTAAGAACCATGCTTCAAATTCAAGATGTATTTCAAAATTCCCGAGTATTTGAGTCACTCCCTAATCACTCGTTAGCGAAGGTATATGCACAAAGAAAGCTTCTAGAAAAGCATATACTCAAAAGTTCTGAAGGATGAAGAAGCTTCTTTTCTTTTATGTTTCTTCACACCTTGAAAGTTACTCCGTTTAAATCTTGGGTCTAAAACTTCATAAAATACCAGATGACTTAAGGGAACATCCACTCTTTATATTCCCTATCTCAATGTCCCAATCTGGGTTTTTTGTTTCATTATCGAATTCATTCCTTCGGTGCACAATGTAATATATCCCCTTCAAAACTCAAATCTTGAATTGAAAGTTCCTGTTTTGTTCGATATTCTGCATTGTTTTTCCATCTCTTCCTAGCGCAATTACTGTCCTTCACCAAGTTCTCAATCCAATTCGTAAGTGCCAGTCTGTTTCTCTGGTTCTTTTACACCCTTTTCAGCTTGTAAAGATTACTGAGAATTAGGGTAAAATGGGTAGTTGCCTAACCAAACTAGAAGACTTAGAGCCACAACCAAGTGGGTACACATCAAGCACAGCAGCAGCAACAGATGAGCAGTAACAAAGATACCAAGGGCCTGTTGTTCATCAATCCAGAAACCTACCACTCCAACTCCAACTCCACCAGCTACCTGAAAAGCTGGTGGCCCTGCCACCATGGAAGCTGGCTGCCCTGCCACCATGGAAGCCGGCTGCCCCTGCTCCAAGTCCAAAGCCTGTCCAGGAAGGTGATACAATCCTTGGTAAGCCATGTGAGGATATAAAGTTGCATTATACAATTGGTAACCAACTGGGTAAAGGCCAGTCAGGTGTGACATTTCTTTGTACTGAAAACTCAACTGGTAAGCGGTATGTTTGCAAGACTATATCCAAGAAGAAGTTGGTAACAAAGGAAGACGTTGAGGATATCAGAAGAAAAGTATAGATTATGCAGCATTTGAGTGGACAACCTAACATTGTGAAGTTCAAGGGTGCCTACGAAGACAGGCAATCTGTGCACCTTGTAATGGAGCTATGCGCCGGTGGGGATCTATTTGATCGGATCAGAGCTAAGGGTCGTTATAGTGAAGAGGCTGCTGCTTTTATACTTGGACAAATCATCAATGCTGTCAATTCGTGTCATTTGATGGGAGTGATGCATAGGGACCTTAAGCCTGAGAACTTCCTATTGTCTAGCAAGGATGAGAATGCTGTTTTGAAGGCCACAGCTTCTGGGTTTTTTGCTTTTCATTGAAGGGGGAAAGATTTTTAGTGATGCAGTTGGGAGCCCTTACTACGTTGCTCCTGAAGTATTGCGGCGTGAACATGGGAAGGAAGCAGATATCTGGAGTGCTGGAGTGATGTTGTATATTTTACTAAGCAGAGTACCTCCGTTTTGGGCAGAAACGAGGACAGGGATATTCGATGCAGTTCTGCATGAAGAAATCGACTTCCACACTAAACCATGGCCATCTATCTTGTGCAGTGCCGAAGACCTCATCAGCAAGATGCTGACACGAGATCCGAAGGTGCAGATTTCTGCTGCTCAGGTTCTAGAGCATCCATGGACCAAAGGTGAAGCATCAGACAAGCAAATTGATTGTAAGTTGGCAATATCATATTACAAGAGTCAACCAGCACAGTATGAACGCTCTGATACTATGATAAAAAGCATCATAAAATGGCACTTTGGGCTTTCTCTCATTCACCAAAAGCTTTCACAATTATGCACAAGAACAAATTCTAACCTAATCATTCAAATCAAGCCATCTAAATTGAATAACTGAAAATAAAAACATTGTCACGTCTACAAGGGTTAGATATTGAATCAGTGGATGAGGTAATATGATCTTAGCATAGTCATACCTTCTTGGCCTTTCAGTAATTCAGAATCCATTTCATCTCAGCAAGGCAACAGGCCAAAACTGAAATACAGAGAGATGTGATTGTACAAATGGAGTCTCTGTTCTTGCATGTGCAACATCAAACTTTTGTCTGGAGGATGTACCGCCTTGCTCGGTTAGAACAAAAGAGAGACACCATGCCAAAGTAGAAGCTGACAAAAGCACTTACACAGAAGATCCATACAGAGATTGGTCCTTCCACTTCTTCAAACGGCTTCTTAGGCACTGCTGGAAGACCTGCTGCATTACACCCTTCAGCAGGGGAACCCACACATAGATCTGGGTTTCCAGCAAATGCCCCTGGGAATCTTTTATAGCCTTGTTGGTCGGGAAGAAATCCAGAGAAACAGTTATATGACAGATTCAAGAGTATCAAATCTTTGAGGGTGGATATGTTTCCAGGTACCTCACCTGATAAAGAATTATTTGACAAATCCAAGGCCCTTAAGCTCCGCATCTTCTCTAAACTTGGAAGCTGACCACCCAGAAAATTATATGATAAATTCAGGTACTCCAAACCTTGGAGCCCAAATATGCCATGTGGAATCTCCCCCCTTAGCATGTTGTTAGACAAATCGATTCCAGTCACTGACGATAGCTCATAAATGAAGTTAAGTTCATTGCTTTTAATGACTGTAACAGAAACTTCAATATCTGCATCTCTCATTGCAATAAATTGCTCTTTAGGTACCTTCTCATCATTCCCATTGTTGAAATGAAAACTGGTGTTGAGGTTGCCATCTGGGATGATGCCCGAGAATCTGTTTCCTGAGAAGTTTATCATCTTGATTGCTCCAAAAGTGAACAGCCAGCTTGGTAAATTCCCACTGAATTTATTATGAGCCAGGGAGAGATACTTTAGATTTGACCATTTGGTTATTGCATCATTCAAACTTCCAGAGAGATTATTGAAGCTAAAATCTACTATCTCCAGTGATTTTAACCCCGCCAGAGTTAAAGGGATCTCACCTGAAATTTTGTTGTTGCTTATATCCAACATCTTCAAGCTATCCAGTGCATCAAGCTCCGGTTGAATTTCACCAGAAAGATTGTTGTTATTGAGTATAAATGCCAGTAACTGATAACACCCAACAACATCTAATGGAATTGATCCTGACAAAGAGTTGTGAGAGAGATCAATCACCTGGAGACATGTCAAATTTCCAATCCTCGCTGGAATTTCCCCTCTAAGAAGATTATGAGAAAGAAACAACACTTGCAAGCTTTTCAGCTCAGTGATCTTCAATGGGATATTACCGGAAAACTGATTGTGTGAAAGGTCAAGAAGAACAAGGTCAGATTTCTCTGTTGTCTCGGCAATTTTGCTTGGAAGGGGACCTGACAAACTATTGCAACTCAAGTCCAAAACAGTCAGCTTCTCAGTGAACACAAGTCTCGGAGATATCTGATAACTCAGTTGATTATGTGACAGATTAAGGCACACCAGAGCTTCCAATGATGCAATACAAGTAGGTATCCCTCCCACAATAGCATTGTCAGCCAAATTCAGAACTGTGAGACTCCGTGCAGGGGCAGAGAAACAAGGCAAAGTTCCAGAAACCTGATTTGAAGCAAGATTGAGAAACTCCAAAGACTGATAAAACTCATGAAGATTGCCCGACAATGAATTGTTTTCAATATCCAAGTACTTCAAAGACTTCAAGTAAAACAAACTTTCAGGTATCTCCCCACTAAATGAATTAAAACCCAGATCAACTTTCTCCAAGTTGGTCGAAAAATTACCAATCCATCCAGGTATAGCACCACCTAAATCCTGATTCCCTCTCAACACAAGTTCTCTCAAATTCCCAAGTCTGATGAATGAATCAGGCACAACACCACCAAATCTATTATAACTAAGATCCACAACCTTAAGTCTACCCAATGAACCAAAACATGAAAGTAATCCCCCAGTGAAGTTGTTCTTAGACAATACCAAGAATTCAAGAAAGGAGAGATTGCATAAACCAGGATGCACCTGCCCTGACAAGTTCATGTCAGTCAAGTTTAAGGACACAACTCGGCCAGTCTGGTTGTCACAACCGAGGCCAGTCCAGTTAGTGCAGCTAGACCCTACCCAGCTAACCAATCTCTGGCTTGGACCCTGAATCCCAGCCTTAAACATCAACAATGATGCTTTCTCTTGTGGGTCAAGATCAAAACCCTGAGATACGCACAAAAACAGTGTAATCAAGAACAACAATGACAGTACATGTGAAATTTGAGCTTTATAGGTGTGAAAAGCAGAAACCCATTTTAGTTCCATTACCGAAACAACCCCAAGCACCAGTCAAGTGGCAAAAAAGGTAAATTTGAGACACTGAAGGGGCTAAAACGGGAAAACTGGGTTATTCAGTGAAGTAAGAACAATGGAAAACTCAAATAAAGACTATTCTAAGGGCTAAAAGATGAAACCCATTACAGTTCCATCACTGAAACAACCCCAAGCTGTGCAATCAAGTGGCAGCAAGAGGAAATTCGAGACACTGCAAGGGTTAAAAAAAAAAAAGACAAAAAGAAAGAAAAGAAAAGGTGGGCTCTCTCAACGCAAGAACTTCAGCAAAAATGCAATGAAAACGGTATTTTAAGGGTGAGCATCTAAAACTCACCTTCTTCAATGGAAGTCAAGAAATTTCAGTGGCAGACTGAAAGAACATCCTAAAAATAGAGAGAAATAGAGACTTACTATTGAAAATGAAGTATTCTTGCAGCAAGAGGCGGTATGTTATACCGAGGAATAATAATTCCACAGATTACCGACATTCCCTTTATCTCATTGCTTTGTTAAAGGGGAAAGCACCCTTTTTTTTTTCACCAAAAAACAAAAAAAATGGAGAAGAAGAAGAAAGAAAGCACCGTTTTTTTATTCCATTCCACTGACTTTCTGTATTTTAATTTTCATTTTTATTTGATTCTTATCTTTTCCTTTCGGCAAAAATTGAAATAAGAATACCGACCTTGGCTAAATTCAGAATTGAGGATACACATTTTGGGGGTGCTAAAATATTTTATTTCATTTTATATCTTAAATTATATAATTAGGAGTAATTTTTTTAACCCACTCTATTTGCACAATATGTAACTCCAATTGATAATCTCTTATATTCATTTAAAGAAAGTTATTGTTAAATTATTTAAATCAGCAGATAATATTTTAAAATATTTTAAAATGTAATTTTACATTAATAATTTTTAAAAAAAGTGGTGTATGATCCAAAATACATTCCAAATCATGCAATTTAAATTAAATGAGAAATAGTTTCTTTAATATTAGAGATTATCTTGATCTAATTATTCAATTCAAATAATAAAATAAAATAAACAACTCTTATTAATTGATAAGAATAATTTAGACAAAAGGGTTAGAATGTGATATAACAAAAGTTGACTTTTTTTTATTCAAATTATTGCTTTAATTGACAATTATGTGGCATAAAATAAGGTTTTGATTGCATATTCATTACACTTGGTCCTTATTTTGGGTTTTACCTTTTTTTTTTTGAGTTTTTTTTTTTTTTTACAAGAGTAATGGTTAATAATTAAGTTAAAATTTGTTAATAATTAAAAATTTGATCTCCAAAATAAGTGATCTCTCAGTTCCCTCGTTGAAGTGCGTAGCCCATCAAACGGCATAACGGAGTTCTTTCTTTTTTGAGTTTGTGCATGCAAAAGGTGCAATTAATACATGCACAATAAATACAAGGTTGGGGGAGAGGGGAGGAGGATAGAAAGATATTATACACTTTCGTTTCTCTCTCTTCCCATTAATAAATGGATTAAAAGAATAAATTAAAGGCTTTCTTCCTTTCTCTCTCCTCTTCTCTCTTGCACTTCATTTCCCTTAATCCAAATACACTGTGAACTTTATCAATTTATGCTATTTTAGCACATCGGACCTTGAATAAAAAAATATGCATATAAACCCTTGAGTTGCCCGATTTGTGCAAATTAGGCCTCCTACTAGCTGCTGCTCATGTAATATATTAATATTAACTGGTTTTCTAGTTAAAAGAAATAGTTGTGTGAGAATGGCTTTGTAGCTTAGTGACTACTATTTTCTTGTAAGGGATTTCTCATGCTAAAGTGAGATGTATGATTTGAGTCTTACTTCAATGTTTAAAAAAAAAAAGAAAAAAAAAGAACAAAACAGTTGTGTTGATGAAACTAACTAGGGTTAAAAGAAAAATAAATAATTGCAATTTAATCCCTACATTAGTTAACTTGAAATAAAAATAATTCACAACTTTTACTATTTTAGCAAAAAGTGAAAATTACATAAAATAAAAGAAAAATGATTTAAAGATAATTTTTTATGCCATCTTTTAGTATAATTTTATGTGTTATTTAAATTAATACTTTTTTTTATTCATTTGGAACTTGTGATATTGAGTACATTTACTTATTTAATTATACATAAAATTTATATAAAAAAATAATATAAAAAAATTATATTTATATTACAGTATAAAATAAAATCCTTTACAACCAAATATTCAATAAAACCGAACTTACAGTCAAACAGAACTTGCGAGAGCTTTGATAGTCTTTGAGAAATGCCCATTACAAACATGGATGAATTATAACATTAAAAGAATATATCATCTTGGGCTCAGATTTTTAGGAGAATAAGTAAAAAGAAGTTTAAACTTTGAAAAGAATTTACAATCTTTACGTGCATAAAAAAAAATAAAAAGGAATTTACAATCTTTACAAATGGTCCACTAATATTAGCTAGATTCCAAGATTTTAAGATAAAATGAACAGAACCCAGATAGGAACCAAGTGCACCAATTATTCAATTGAACAATCAAACAAAGAAAAATAATGGAAAAGCATAACCCAAAATTAAATTAAATTTTAACTTTCCCAAAAACCGAACTAAGAAATTACTTCAAATTAAAGCCAATTAACTATATTCTTGTTCTCAATTGTGGCCAATTAAGTATAATGTTCTATTATGGTGAAATTTTTGTGTTCTCTTATTTATTAAGAACACATGCACATAGGGTGAAAGAAAATTGAAAATTTATACTAAAAAGATTATGTAGATTTCTTTGTTTGATACATTAAATGATAAATTATGCAATTAGAAATAATCATTCACTTTTTAAATTCTTTTTCACTCATCTTAAGATTTTAATTTAAAATTTTTAACATAAAGATTCAAACTTTTAACTATTAAAATACCCTTCAAAAAATGTAATATAGATTTCTTGATAATAAAGAAAATTGCTCATTCCAGTTCTCACGGGTGTGGATTCATAACCATATTGGGATTCATGACTAAAGTATTTGTTGGGATTCTTCATAACCATATTATGGGATTCATGACTAGAGTGCTGGTTGGTATTCTAATCATTCTATAGTTTGCAATTTTAACTTTTATTAAAATAGTTATAAGTTTAGAGATTATTTTTTATTTCAAATTTAACTAATTTAATAACTAAATTTCAATTCTTAATTTTGCTTTAGCTGCCATGTCGGATTCATAGTATACTTTTAATTTAATTACAACACCAATGGAAGTTAACGGATTTAACGTGTTAGGTAAAGGACTGATTTGCACAAAGTAGGCAGTTTAAGGTCTCACAGGATCGTTTTTGTGTTCAAGGGCTGATGTGCTGAAATGCAATGAGTTTAGAGGCTAACATTAGGTTTTCCTTGGATTGATTTGCCTAATCAAAATCCTATCAAGATATTCAACTAGTTAAAAAAAAAAAGAAGTCCATCCTTTTCTAAAATAAAGAAAAAACTAGTAGAAGGAAAGGTATGAATTAGAAAGGTAAAGAGTGACAGTGAGATTAAGACTTCTATATATTTCTTCTTGTCCCATATGTACGGTAGCAAAGGAGTAGAAATTACAAAATTTACAGGAGTTAATAACAACTAAATTGTAAAAAAAAAACTAAATAAAATAAAATTTAAGATATTTTGATATTAAAAATATTAAAATAATTAATAATAATTATTTAATAAATTTAATAAAATTCTAAATTTCATAATATTTACATATTTAATATAATATATAATTAAATATCTAGAGACTC